TGTGTGCTCCAGCTCCGAGGCCTGGGAGGGGTTTCTAACATGTCTGATCATGACAGTCTCCTTTTGTTATTTTTAAACTTTTTGATGGTGATATAATAGGGGAAAAAAAAAAAATCCATTGCATTTTCAGCACTATTTTTTAACTTTGCTTCCAAATGTAGCTACAATTCCAGAAGGGCCAGGTTTTATGAATCCAAATTCTTTTTTTTTCTCAATAGCTTATATCCATTCTTTCAAAATTGCCCTTCCTTATCGAGATCAGCTATTCAAACTACTAAATGGCACACAGAACATGCTTGTACAGTTTGATCTAACTTAAACCAGCACTCCAGTTAGTCTTTCTAATATGGTTTCTATTTGTCGAGCAGTGACATCATGGCCTTTCCAATTTTTGTTGGTTTTTTTTAATAAAATGGTGCACAAAGTGACTTTTGATGCCATGAAAAAAAAAAAAACCACAAAAAACAAACAGTTCCTGTAAGTAATTTTTCATTGGGCAAATGAAGTGCTGTGAATAAACACGTGCAATGTAACGTGGCAATGTCTTGTGAAGAACCTGGAGAAAACGCACATGTCTGCTTCACGGAAAAGAATGTAGGTTTCCTCAGAGAGGGATTTCATAGCATAAGTGAAAAGAAAATACATAATACATAGATGGGGAGATTTTAAAAAAAGGTGTTATTAAAAATGGCAAATATTTAGATTGAAACTATGACTTTTAGTATATGGGAGTTTTATTACATATGGACATAGTTTAATTTTTATCCCATCTTTTTAACTAAACATCTATACTCACTATCAAAAAAAAAAAGAAAGTTTTCAAGGCTTACTCTTTAGAGTCTTAATAAAGTTTTAAAATTTACTGTTACGTGTGTCTGAGATCCTCAAAAATATGAATAAATTAGGTTTTGAAAGTCTTAAAAACAAGTTGTGATACTTATTAGTTATCTAAGTCTCTGTTCTAAACTTTAAGTGTGTAAATATATGAGTTATGCATAAAATTAAAACTTTTTTAATTTTTTTTTTTAAATTAGGGACATCATCTCATAGGATCTGTTGCAACTGTTAATATACTTCTCCCATATGAAAAACAGAATGCTATGGCATTTTTCATTTTATGTGATTAATGTGTCTTGTAACTAAGGCTGAGAAAACTAGTGCATCTTTCTCAACAACTAAGTTCTACCTAACTGCTGCAGTAGCTGTCTAGCTTGTTTTTTAGAATCATGGAACCCTAGAGTGGTTTGGGTTGGAAGAAGCTGTAAAGTTCACTTAGTTCCAACCTCCCTGCATGGGCAGGGACACCTTCCAATAGACCAGGTTGCTCAAAGCCCTGTCCAACCTGGCCTTGAACACTGTCAGGGCTGGAGCAGCCACAGCTTCTCTGGGTAACCTGTTCCAGTGTCTCAACCCCATGACTTTGAAGAACTTCTTTCTTATAGCTAGCCTTTTAAGCCTATGTCTACTCCTGCCCTGGCTCTGCTGTTCCATAGCCAGCCTCTCTGAGGTTGTATGTCCTGAAACTTAGATAAATTTAGATGAAATTGAAATTTACATTATTTTTGTGGAAGGGAGTAGATACTGGCTCCAAATAAAACACTGGAGCACTTGATTTTTTTCCCCCGGTTATAGGCTTCTGGATGGCAATGTAAAAGTCCTGCAAGCTCTGAGATCTGCGCAGATAGGGGATGGAGAGATGAGTCTGTTGGGAATGTGGCAGAAAAGAAGAATTAATGTGAATCTGGAAGACAATAAATAGAATAGCAGGAACAAAAATGTTCTGGAGAGAATGTAAACACAAAAAATGTGCTAACTAGACATTGTCTTTCTCCAGCATGCTTTTGGGAAATGAACATGAACAGGTTTAGAAGATTTCATGTTGTTATTAGTTTATTTTCAGGTCATTTATTTAAGTGTCATAAAGAACATTAGCTAGTGGTTAGGGACTACAATATCCATTATATCATTCCAATCATGTGGACAAGTTTATATTACATATGATTTACAATGGTCTTTCAGCAGTTAAAATTATTATATTCAGGTACAAGGTTTTATACATGGTTCTATTTAGGAAAATTCAAGTGGCTGAGCACAGAGATGTCTTCCAATCAAAGTCCGAAAAATTAATGCTCTTACACGAACACTGTGTTGCAGCGAGAGCTGTTTATGGCTCTCTGCCTACATCCTTTATCATGTCTCCACTGTTGTTAGTAAAATATACAGAACTACTTTATGCCAAAACAATGGAAGTTAATGCAGATAACTTGTTCCAAAGTTAACCATCAAATAAATCTTCCTTTTTTTTTTTTTTTATAAAACTGTTAAGTGAAATGGTGTTCTAAAACTTTTAAAAATTGTCAAGATGATGAATACTGTGTGTGTAATACAAGTAAATACCATGGAATTGATTGCACACACATGTCTTAAATAAAGGATATTAAATAGTTTATTCCAGAGGGAGATCGGTGGAGTTTTATCTACTATTATTAGAAATTCTGCACTGACGGATCAGATTTATAAGGGCTGAAAAATAAGAAGAAAACCTCTTCAGAAATAGAAATGGTGCACTGAGTGGGTGATTGGCTGGGAGATTAAAGACAGGCAGGGGGATATAGCCTGCCTAGGTAGTCCAGCCTTTCACATATCAGGCAATTCTTAATAGCAATGACTTTTCAAAATCTGTTAGTTAAATTTGGTTTATCGGTCCTCTCAATTTGGTCACTGACTTGGTGGTTTAGGGCAAATCCTATAGCCTATTTCTCCTTCAGCTTTTCCCATGCATATATATATATAAGTATATCCTTGCAGGGATATGTCCATACTTTAGAGGAACCACCAACAACTGGTTTTAGGTCTATAATTCAGCTTGGACTGTCAGAATGCACACTTAACATTTCAGAGCATATGTGCAAGTAATTCAGCCACACTATATTTACGCTTTTATGTTCTGAGAATCTGAGGGTGGCTAAGTTGCTGAGATGGGATGGTTTAAGTTGGACTTGTTTGGGAGCCTGTCTTGTTTGTAACATAGGCAACAGATTCAGATGAGGTTGTTGAGTGTGATAGAATTTTTTCAGGTTTTATCAAGGCCAGGTTGGATGGGGCTTTGAGCAGCCTAGTCCAGCCTGTGTCCCTGCTTGTGGCAGGGAGGTGGGAACTAGATGATCTTTAAGGTTTATTTCAACCCAAACCATTTTAGGATTCTATGATTCTGTGATCTACAGAGAACACCAACGGGTGACAGCAAGCAGTGGAAAAATGGTAGATCTCATAGGTGATTTGGTCAGTGCCTTGAAAATACAGCTTAGTGTAGACAGACGTGAAAATAATATACCAAGGGATGGCACGCCAAATCAAAGAGTACACATCACATGGAATGTTTGCGCAGCATGCAGACTTAGTAAAGGAGGTTCAGAGGTTTGAAGAAAAATCTTCAAAGCAATTAGTCAAGAGTAAAACTGAAGTGTACAACTGCAGTAACGCTCATGTAGTGTGTGTGTTTGTATTTTGGTAGTGATTTTGAGGAGAGTTTCTGTTTAAAGGTGGTCCATTCCAGGGTGAACTGGATGATTCTGGTGTTTAAGAATATTTGTTTTGACAGAGGGAATGGAGTGGTTTGTTCACAGCCCAGAAATGAACTGTGATGGAGTAAAGCACTGAAAAACTGTGGAGGAGGTTGGTAAAATGGAGCAAGTGTTGGCTTTAGTAAACAGTTTAATAAAGAGGTTATAGTGGGTAAACATTTGGAAATTAAGAGGAAACAGAAAATTTAAATGTCTCTGCTTATCTGGGAGAACCATAATCACACTGAAAGGCATGTAAGTAAATAATATTCGGGTAAATTAACTTGAGGTCCAGGCAAGCATTTAAAGTGAGGAACCCGTGGTGGCCATGCATGTAGTCCTCTCAGTGTTAATTTAGAAGAGTTGTGGTTGAATGAAAAAGCTTCACTCAAGTGTTTCCTGGGCAGGGTCTGTAATTCATTACTACTTCAAATCAAATAGTAAAACCAGATCTGAATAAAATGTTACATTTCATATATTACAAAAATTAATTCAGTGGCCTTAATGTAACCGTACAAATGCATCCTGCTGTTGGGAAGGGTTTTCTGCGTGGACATCGGATGGAAGCACCAGTGGTGTCTAATATTGTCTATGGTACCTCAGAAAGCTTATGCCTCATTTTCCCCATCATCATGTTCATTATTTATGCCTGTGAAAAAACATAATAATGTTTTGGGTTTTTTTCCTGTGAATGGATGTACAACTCAATCATTTTCTCCTAGGTGTAGGTTTGGGGTTTTTTTTCTAGTTTGTGCTAAATTTTTTCAGCTGGTCATTACATACATCAGACAAGGATAGTTGGGTAAAAAGACCCACTTCCGTGTAATGATTCATTTTTGGCCCATGTTATTATGCAACTGACAGTCTTTCTGCGTTAGCTTTCAATGACCTCTGATGAAGCAACTTGCTGGCCTCGAGTCTAGACATGGACTAGACTCACCTTAGGTTCAACACCACTGCATTTGACATTTGTTACCAATCTTAGCCATAGTCTGGCAAAAATGCCAGGGTTTTTCTGGCAAAATTGTCTTTTTACTTCCCAGAGGTGTTTGCTGTATTGTATTTTAGCAGGCAAATAGATTATTCTTCCTGTTGATGTGTGCCAATAGCAGCAATGTAGTTTAGTGGAGACCTTTGACTACTCAGCCAGTCAACCTCTTATTTTATTTCACTGATGGAAGGTGTCCTTGCCCATGGCAGGGGATTTGGAACTAGGTGATATTTAAGGCATCTCCCAACAAACTATTCTGTGATTCTATATTCACTAAAATATATGCAAATTGTATCTTTTACTGAATGCTAGTGCAGTTGTTGCTTGGATAGGTATAAAATATCAACCATGTTTTGTCTTCTCATTTGCTATTAATTAATAAACAATTACCAAGTGAAACTGAAATCCTATATCAATACAATACAATCATTTTTTTTCCCTAACAGGTTCATGCCAGAACATAAGCTTGCCCATTTTGAAAAAGTAATTGGAGTTAAAAGAAATGGAGGTGCTTATCAAATGGTGGATCTGCCTGGCCAGCAGAAGTGCAGAGCTTTAATGAAAACCAGCAATGCAGCTAGCAGGTCTGGACTTTGTGAAACCCAGCCTAGACTTCATACCACACAGCAAGAGGGGCTGCCTTCCGCATTAATAGCAGTGGCGAGATTGAACGAGTCTGAAGCATCAGAAAGTACAAATCCTTGTCAAGAAGAAGATAAGCAACATCTGACTTTTAACCTCTTTAATATCTTGAGTGGACAGGACTATGAGCAAAGACCTTTACACATTGTCTGGCCTCACAGGTG